TGTGACAAAAAAACAATTTTCATATTATATCTAATGCAAGAAAATATACAAGAATTGTCAATTAATAATGGCCGTATATTAAAAGTTTGCATATGAGGAAAATAGAAATATGATTCTCTGTTTAGATATTTCTAAAACAATAATATAGGAAAATTAGTGCATAAAGATAGAATTTTAATATATTAATTTTTGTTTATTTGATACGACTAATAAAATGTAATGCAAATGATGTATTTCCATTAACAAAAAGACTTAATAAATATTTTTATTTTAATTAAATATAAAACAAATAATAGTGGAAATAAAGTATGATTTTAGAAGTGATTATTAATTGGATGCGATACATTAAAATTTTTAGAACAGAATTTTATTTCCTTTGTGTACCTGCACAATATTGAATGTACAGCAAATCACCCAATACAGAAAAATAGTTAACAGTACGAAAATTGTATAGCTTATAAGAGTATCACACGTATTTAAATGATGAAATTTGCAACATGTGTTTAAAGAGGAAAAATTTGATAGTGGTTAAAATACCTTAAATTTTTGTTAAGTACTTTCAGGATTGGAATCACATTATTAAATAAATGAAAGAATTCGGTGTTCCAGGTACATATTCAATGTTGAATGTAGTAATTATTTTCATAATTAAAGTATAAAGGTACTTGTACAGTTGTAGTTGTTGTTGCGCTATGTATATGTATGTACAGTGAATTATATACATTGAATATATAATAGCTGAAATACAAGCATAAAATTAAATGGTACATATATACAGAACACATGCAATAGCATAAAAATTTATATATCGACGTATTTTCATTGTTCCCTCGTTTCTAAACACTTTAACATATTCTATCGGAGCATTGACAAGGTTCAGTTATAGTTGTTTGAATAAGCCCATATTGTCCTGTAATCATCCAATTTTCATCTTTCTTAAAAAGTTCCTCTCCTACGCCTGATTGTAAACCAACACAAACATCTGATTTTATTGTTCTTAAACTAAGTATATGTGATGGTTGAAATCCTCTTAACGCCTCGGTAAATGATGTTGTGTATTTCCAATTTATATCGCTCACTAATTTTCTATAATTTAAGTCACCTTTAAATATTATTAGTTTGGCTTCTGATAATTTGGCATACAACGCTTCATCGTGTTCTTTCATTTCTGAAAAGTCGTATGGACCTGTCCAATAGGATTCCTCCTAAATATAAAGTAATATTTAATGTGTATTTTAAAATTTATAAATTTTATGCTATAGTTGAATCGATTATACAAATGAGACGTGTCATACCTCAACAGTCCATGTATTACTTTTCAAATAATTATTAATCAGTTCGGCTACTTCTTTTAAATCTTTATTCGATGAATTCTTCATGTAATCTACAGTCCAATAAAAATCTTTTTTCATTGTATCGCTTACATACCATGGGTATTTTTTTACATAAAATCTTATTTTTGAGGCAAGTTCACTAGCTATTAAAAACACTGCTAAACATAAGTCAGTAAAAAGTTCATATCCTGCGTTATCTAATACCATATCTATGATACATGTCTTAGGACTTTGCGATTTCTTTAATAAATTCCAAGCCAATTCTGAGTTGTCAACAAGAATATCTTTCTGCAATGTTTTTAAAGCTTCCATGGGATTACTGGTTTGACTAACTTCTGCTCCAGCGCTAAGCGATAAATCGCATCTACAAGAAGTATACATTAATAGGCTTGATAAAATTATGCAACAAAACATTGAAAATAGAACATACTTATTGCCCCAAAGATTTAGCTGAAGAAATTTAGAAAACTCTTGTTTCGATTCATCCACTGATAAAGACTCTGTTCTTTTCTTGAACTGCATTGTATAAGCACAAAGGGCTTCTATGCTTATTAATGAATTGATAAAAGCATTTTGCTTTTGTTGTTCGAAAGCATCATAATTATGCAAATACTTTCTGAAAATAAATACATATATTTTGTTAATTCATTCGACACTTTCTTTTGCAATTGTTTTACAAAAATTTTTAAAACATACGTGAGGGCAATTTCTTGTGCAAGTATCCGATACATGTAACATTCGCAATACAACCAAATTGTATTAAACCATGTAGGCGTCATCCCTTCTATCTCAGTTCGTTTGATTAAATATTTATTCCATTCGTCTGCGTCATTGTCTATTGCATTTGGTAATGTTCGCATAGGCGTTAAAGTTTTATTTGTAACCATTTCATTCTTTAATTTACTAATAAATCCTATAATCTGTTTAATTTCTTCCGATGCATCCTAAATAAATATATATAATTTCAACCACATACATATATACTTTCTATTATTAGATCACGAATAAACGTTTAGAGCAACAGGTATGTTTTGACTTATACGTTGTACCTTTCCACATGTTTGTATAATGTCCTCTTTATTACGACTTAAGGTATCGACTATTTTAGTTAAAATTACTGGTAATCTATCCTTGATCGTTATATATGCGAAGCTCCTGCAATAAACATTAATAATTACACCTGATTGCAATACAAATAGTTTATTGATAAAAATGAAATGTAATACATGTTGAAACTGATACATCGTACACTATATCACTTTTATTACATAACATCATAATATATTACAATTCAGTTTTTCCCATTTTGTTTTCAAATAAAAAATTAATAAAAATTGTTTACCGTTTGTAAATCCCCGACAAACGTACTCCAGTAGGTGTATATATATCTTCTAAATTAAGAATGTCTATGGAATTCGATCTTTGGGACATGATCTCGGAATTTGAGGTTACTATCACAGTCAGACTACAATAAATCAGGATCAGCTGTGCGTACAGTGTGAAATCTGAAACAGACTCAAGTACAGACGTAACATAAAATTTGATTTTTTTATCTATTGTTCTGAAATACCGACACTGTCGAAAATAGCCTAGTGCACTGACGAACTTTACCGAAATAAAACGATCGGCAACCGAACTACATGAAATTGCAATATAAAAAGTTTGTCGTTGGAGGTTAGCGTTTACAGTATAAATCATGAATTATTTTGTATACTTTTGTACAGTTTTTTATATATTCCTACATAATTTTCAGTAGTCTTCAACAATTTTGTATAGCTTCATACAGTTTCATATGGCTTACTACAGCTTCATATAGTTGTATATATATTTTTATACAGTTTTATATAGTTTTATACATTTTTATACAGTTTTATACAGTTTTACACAGTTTAATCTGGTTACTTATATACAACTAGATAAAACTATATAAAACTATATAAAACTATATAAAAATATATAAAACTATAGTAATAGTATTACAACTGTATTTTTTGATGACACTGTTAAATGTGTACACGTCGTGAGTACCGGACATAATGTGGTCTCTAAATAGTCCGCATAATGCGCTGGTTTTTTCCCGGGAAGCATCAGACTACCCAAAAAAGTTTTTGTATGACGAGGGAAAGTCCGGAAACGCTTCATATGCGATGAACTTCCGGGTGGAGCGATATCCCAGTCATATATTTTTATCTTCCCTCTGCAGCGAAGGCCACTTTTCACATGAAGGTGTAAAGAGCACGCGCAACTTGCAAAGGGTACCAAGAGAAGAAACAGACGATTTCCACCATAGTGAAAGAGAGATTTTAGAAGTCAGAGAGATTTTAAAGAATGAAAGAGAGAAGGAGGAGGGGGGGATTTAATGACGACGACGACGATGTGCTGCGCACAACACAACACAGACAGACCCCGCCGGGGGCCGCAACAGACGGTCACCCATCCTTCTAACGCACGTGCCGGCGACAGCTTTACGTGGAAAACACACTAGGCTTGACGCTAACCTACACGGCGAACTTCACTACAGACCTAACCAAGACCTTTGTTTTTTTCACCCTGGATAACTTGCTTTAGGCGACCCGCGCCTTTTGGGGCGACGCGGGGCAGTGTGAGATTCTTACTCACTAAAGCTCCAGGGATGTTCCAGCCTCGGCCTTAACAGAGGGGTCCCGAGTACCAAACAAAATCCTTCCGGGCGGCCCCTCCAGCCAAGTATGAGCCATACACAACGCTATAGTTTACGAGTAAACTACCGGCACGGAAAGACATCGTGCCTCAAAACGCGGACAGACCCCTCGCGGGTCACGGGGCGCAGCCGCGAACAACAACGCCTGCGCCCTTCCCTCCCCAAGGCCAGTGTACGAGCCGCCTCCAGCCCCAACTGGAGACGCCTCAGGCCCGAACGGTCCGTCGAGGCGAGGATCCCCATTTAAGGGGGGCCCAGCCACGACGACCGAGCATTTTTACGTCGGAGGAACCGCCGGCGGGCCCGGACTCCACGCCCTGCGCCGCCGTCGACCCCTCCGCCCTCCCACGCGAGAAGGATGGGTGTCGCGCTCCCCCACCCTCTCCGCCGCCTCCTACTGGTGCATCGCGTGCGCCCCCTCCAAGAGGGCCGTGATGAGCCCGCTCGGAGAGAGATCCCTCCCTATAATATGGACCAGGACCCGACGCTCCTCAGCCCACGCCGGACAAAACTCCAACGTGTGCTGCGCCGTGTCCCGGTCTGCGACGCAGTGGTGACACCGCGCGTCGCGCTCCCGCTTGATGCGGCACAGATACTCCCCGAAGCACCCGTGCCTGGAGAGCACCTGCGTCGCGCGGAAGGTGAAGCCTCCCAGCTTGCCAGGACAGCCCCGACAACGCGATGAGCGTCCAACTCCTCGCCCGGTCGGTCCCCCAAGGTTGGGCAGCAACCGCGACAAGGCGCATGTCACCCCCCAGGCCCTGGGAAACAATCGAGCGAAATGGGGCTCGAATTGCCAGTGACTGTTCAGGACGAGTCCCAGATATCGCATCTGGTCCCCGACCCGAACCGGGGCCCCTCCCACCTCGATCCGCGAGTCGGGCGGCGGTCCGCCCAGACGGGACCGATGGTAGAACCATATCGCCTCCGTCTTAGCGGGCGAGACCCGCAGTCCCAACTCGCGGATAGAACGCAACAGCATCGATGCCGCCAATCCGGCGGCACGGCTGACCTCCGCGAACCCCGTCCCACCGACCAACAGGAGCGTGTCGTCCGCGTAGCAGACAAGCTCCGTGTTCGGCGGGAGGGGGGTCCTCAACACTACATCGTACCCGATATTCCATAGTGTTGGCCCCAGGACGGATTCCTGGGGCACCCCGCGTTCAATGGATCTTCTGTGAGACCTGCCGTCCCTATCGGTGAACAAAATCCACCTGTCCCGGAGATACGCCCGGATAACCTGGTATTCCAGGCCCTCGTGTATCCTACGCCAGGGGAGCGTGTTGAAGGCGTTGTCGATGTCGATCGACACCGCCATCACCACGCCCCCCGACGGTCCAGCTCTCAGAGAAGGAGCAAATAAAAAATACAGGATATCACGTTTATGAATTGTAGCCAACGAGTCGGTATTGTCAGCTCCTAGTTCAAGAAAAAGTAAAAGTAAAATTCCTCTTGTTGTTTGAAATCGTACAACTATACAACTTAAATTCCTTTGCTCATGTCCGTGATATTCTTTTTGTAAATATTCAGTTAGAAACAAGCCCTTCTACAAGTTGGTCGACAACATATTTCACGACTATAAATTAGTGAATTTTCCAAGTTAATCATGCATATTGTGAATATTTATTATCGCAAAAATTAGGCTCGACCCTCGGGAATATTCCGTAGCAGTTTCAACAGGATTCGGGCAGTAATTAATAAATTATTAGCGATTTTCGGATAGGTGCAATGGATCCCGTGCGAACGTGCGGCGCCATCTATCCGGATAACGCTGAAACTTCTGGCCAATTAGTACCAATTCCCGGCCGCTAGATGGCACCACCAATCAACATTCTTACCGATGCAGCAAACTCACTGGATAATCGCTAATTAGTTATTAATTACTACTCGAATGCTGTTCAAAATCTTACTGCATGTTCTGGGCAGTACACCCGAATTTCTACAATCATAAATGTTGACAATTTCACCCTATTATGTGAAGAACTTAATTCTTTGCTGGGCCAATGTAAAAAATTCTACTTTATCTTCTGACATCATCTCGGGATATAATTAATAAATAATTAACGCGATGCAAAATTCCGTCAGTGTTTGCATGAAAAAGTGGGGGAAGGTCCTTTCTAGAATCTCAAATTGCAAAGATAAACAACTTATTCGTAATAGTTTTGTTGATAATGACTTAGCTGTTGATTTCGTAGTTTTCTTCTCTATCGGTAAGTCTCGTTTAGTTCTTAGCTATTGCCGCTAGATGCCGCACTCTCGGATACCTCCTTAGCACTGATGCTTCGCGCGTACGTACCAGGAACCGATGAGATGCTTTTTCAAGGAGGTAACACGGGAGAGTGAATGTCTGTCCTTGACGCACAGTATGACTGGACTTGCTTACACATTACAGGTATAGGCCAAAGCTTCGAAAATTGCCAGCCGCTTGATGGTGCCACCAATCGTTATTCTTATAGACGCAGCGAACCCACTAGATAATCGCTAATAACTTATTAATTACTGCTTGAATGTGGTTCAAAATTTCACTGAATGTTCTCGAAGGTTCACCATAAATTTATCGGGCGCAGATGTTCACAAATGCTGCCTCTTAAGCGAGAAACCTAACTGTTCACTAGGCACTTGTCAAAAATTCAACGATATCTTCTGACATCGTCTCGGAAATTAATCAAGTTCTTCACTTAGTAGGCATAATTTCTGAATATTTATGATCCTATAAATTAGGGTAGACTCTCAGGAATATTCAGTAAGAGTTGGAAACGGATTCGAGCAATAATTAATAAGTTATTAGCGATTTCCTACCGCTAGTAGGCGCCATACGAATCGACATTCCTACCGACGCAGCGAACACACCAGGTAATCGATAATAACTTATTAATTATTACTCGAATGTGGTTAAACACTTTACTGAATATTCTCTAAAGTATAGCCTAATTTCTACGAACAAAATTGTTCACAATTTGTACCTATTAAGTGAAGAACATAAATTTAAACTGGGCCCCAGGCACATTTTCTACGTTATCTTCTAACATCTTCTCGGAAATTAATCATGTTCTTCACTTAATAGGCATAATTTGTGAACATTTCTGATCGCAGATATTAGGGTATACCCTCAGGCACATTCCGTAGCAGTTTCAACAGGATTCCACCAGTAATTAATAAGTTATTAGCGATTTTCGGATAGGTGCACTGAATTCCGTGTGAAAGCTTGTCGCCATCTATCCGGAGAACGCTGAAACTTCTCGTCAATTGGTACCAATTTCCGACCGCCAGATGGCACCACCAATCAACAGTCTTACCGACGCAGCAAACTCACTGGATAATCGCCAGTTAGTTATTAGTTACTACTCGAATGTTGTTCAAAATCCTACTGCATGTTCTGGACAGTTTAACTTGATTTCGACGATCATAAATGTTGACAGCTTGAGCCTATTAAGTGAAGAACTTATCTGTTCACTGGGCCTCTGTCAAAATTTCTACGTTATCTACTGACAACGTCTCGGGTAATAATTATCAAATAATTAACGCGGCATAAAATCCCGTCGATTGCGATATAGGATGGTACGGGAAGGTTCGTTCAACAATCTTAAATTCCAAAGGTTAAGAATTCATTAGTAATAGTATAGATGATAATTAATTAGCTGCTGATTTCGTTGTTTTCTTCTCTATCGACATGTCACATTTAGTTCGTAACTGTTGCCGCTAGATGGCGCACTTTCGGATACCTCCTTAGTACTGATGCTTCGCGCGTACGTACCAGGAACCGATGAGATGCTTTTTCAAGGAGGTATCACATGAGAGTGTATGTCTGTCCTTTTCGCACAGTATGTCTGTCCTTGGCTTATACATTACAGGTATAGGGAAAAGCCTAAAAAATGCCCGGCCGCTAGATGGCGTTACTGTTGCGCGCAACCGACCTTGTTGCTCCTGCCGAACTGCAACCGTCTTTACATATAGATTTAATGTTCCCTTGCTTCGCGTTAGCTGTTTTATAGATTTCCGTGGGGCGATTTCGACGTTCAACGGCTCAAGGTTCTCTTTACAGATATAACGTTTATGTTACGGGTCTGTGCAAATAAATACAAATGAAGAAAAAAAACCGTGTTATTTTTTATTTCTTTTCTCTGAATATTACATTTTTGTATATACACGAAATTTCTTATGGACAGTTATCAGAATATTAAACAGAAATACGAATACTATAAATGAACACAGTTTACTAAGATAATTAATTGTAAGTTAGTGTAGCCGTAGCGGATAACTGGAGCTATAAATTGGTCGCAGTATGCGGAGCAATTATCGGCCCAAGAAGCAAAGGGAGCCAATCAAGAAAAAAGTATCTGATTCTAAGATGAGAAAAATCATATCGTATATCAATGGAGTTAATATTAAATGTGACAGTTCCAAGTGCGTTAAAAATAAGATGTATTCGATCCCATATATATGTTCTCGATCCCATAGATGTGTTCTTGCTTTTCTTAGGACAGACTGATGGCGCTACCTGGCGGAGACAGCCTGGCATTATTTGGTTACACCCAACAGAGGCTTAAGAAACGTGGTACATGTCAAAGACTGAAAATCTATAGTAGTTACGTTGGTAACGCAGATCTCAAGGAATATATCGGTAAAGGAGGAATTGCCAATACACGAAAAAGGAAGTTCACCGTTTTTCATGTATAAATTTTGTTGTCTAAATTCAAATTGAACAATCGCATTCCGTGTGTATAGATAATTCTTTTCTTTTACATCGTTACCCGAAAAAAAAGAAACACGTAATTGTCACTTTCTAAGCTATCTTTACCAAGTGTTATGAGAATTTTAGTCAAAAGTTAACATTCTCGTTATTTCACTGTACGTACGAGCTATCTGCACACTACTGCAATCGTATTAGAAAATAAATTTTCATATAACAAACAAGACATCAAACGAAAATATTATTTCTGGAATATACGTTTATTTATTCTCATACGTTGTGTAATCCTCAAGTGCTTAACCTACCGATACATCGTAAAAGAAACATTTAGCCGACAGTGAAACTTTGTTTCTCGACTTCGAGTAAGTTTACACACTTTGATATTCCAACTGTACGATGTCTGGTTTCAAAAATCAATAATCCTATTTATTATTTTTATGTTATTCCGTATTACGTTAATCGACCTTTACACATCATTTTTTACATCATTCTACTACATTTACCGTACCAAGTACCATAATGTAACAGTGATAAAATGTTAATCTTCATTGACAATAATGTGGACCGTAAACTTGTTATATTCTTCCACGTTTAGGTATATTAAAACTAATTTTTCATTCGTATTGTTTCAGATGATACAAATAAATATTATATACTAATTGCACCAACATCCTTTACAAAAGAATAATGTTATTCGTACTCCTGGATGGCAATGCTCGTTAAATTTGTTCGCAAAATAGTGAGCAAAACTGTACTTTATACTTGCGTTATACATTGCATTTATGAATATTTAGGAGATATCGTGGTGGTAAGAAAACCTTATCCGATGATTGTAAACTAGTTTGACGATACTGTTGCTAACATTGAGATAGCGAACACTGATGTTTTCGTTATGTAGTGTGCAGGACCTTCGATGGAACCAACGTTACGCACCAACGATGTCTTGCTGACGGAACGAATATCTGTTCGGACAGAAAATGTTAGAAAAGGTGACATTGTTGTTTCTAAATGTCCTTCTGATCCTAAACAACATATATGTAAAAGAGTTATAGGATTACCTGGAGACAAGTTGAAGAATGGAATCATAGTATGTAATGTTAAGATGACGAATCCATGTAAAACTTTAAATTCTATTGTGAAAACCAACTTATGCAATGGCTATTATATTCTCTACCAATCTAGTTCTTCCCGTTTCTTTTTCTTCTTTTTTAGGTACCGAACGGACATGTGTGGTTGGAAGGTGACAATAGTAATAATTCAAATGATTCTCGCGAGTATGGAGTTGTTCCACAGGGTCTCCTACGAGGACGTGCATTCTGTAAAATATTACCGTTAAGAGACGTTACATTTTTCGTACGGGATAACACGAAACCTCCTGATTAATCTGTGTACGATGTAACAGATTTAGTACAAAAGACAATCAGTAGAATAAGTATGTTACTTCTATCCTCGATCGTTGCATCCACCTTTTGTACAATAGGTTTGCGAATTAGATAAATTATTTTCATAAATAATTGTAGTTTGCTTATTTCACGATCTTACGTGATGTATCGGGGTAACGAATCTCATCCTCTGTTCTCTCAACAGCTGCGAAATATACTTTTTAATTTCGACGTAAAACGCTAATAATTTTCAAATAAACAAGGAGTGTTTATATACACGAAAAGTGTAAACAACATTGATCGAATAAATTTCATCCCTTCCTGAAGCATGAAAGTGCGAAAATACTCGTATATAATTGCCAACGATGCTCGTTGGTCCAACGGTGTCGTGTGATTTTATTTACAAATCAAGCCCTCCCAAATTCGTCGCATTAGAACCTCTTTTATATATAAGTACGATCATCTGTTACGGCAAACTTAGTTTACAAGTGGTACAGTAACAGTGCTTTCTGCTCTCGACGAGTTAAACGTTCTCTACTTTTTTACCAAACCTACAGTTTCTTTTTCGTGATTAAAGTGTTAATGACAATAATCGTTACATCATTCTGAAAACTAATTTCTTCACTTTCCGTGTATCTTTTTCTTCATTTACCAACAAAAGGAAGGAGGGCAAGGAATATAAACGTTCGAGATTACCGAAAATCTATTCCTTTAACAAGGTACGTCAGATGTTTGCAACCACTTAACCTACTTAATTAATTAAACTCTTTAATTTTTTAAATTTCTATTATTTTGTAGTTTTAACGAGGTCTCATAAATTCCTTTACTCTGTAGGAGAATTCGCAAATGTATTTCATCTAGTATATTTCATCTAGTATGTTCGATGACTACACGATTTAATTTTATACTCTTTTATTTGTTTCGTGAATCACCGTCTACCTCCGTCCCCCCGCACGCCGCTCCGCATTTCTACTATATGTACACATAATACTCTACTATGTATATTTTCGCGCATGTGCTTTTTATGTCCAGTATGTATAGATACTAGGAAGAACGTCGAACCAATGTCCAAATTTAATGGTAGTTATCTTTCATGATTATAAACATTTTTCGGAATATTATTATTGAATCGTTATTATTTTCGTAAAATTACTGACGGAATCCCCTTCTACCTATCTATCAGCTGATCGTGACAATTATGACGAGACAGTGGTCTTTGGTGCGTATTACAAATTTATCCAATCGATGACAAGTTACATATCTGTGATTACTTTCCAAATTGTACGACAAACAACCAGTAATACAAAACAGTATTACGAAATGATCGTATCTCGTTTTTATCTTTGGCAATTGGTACATGATTTTCTACAAACATGATTTAAATAAAATTTGTGTTACATATTTACTTAATGTCACCTGTGTAATAACTATAATACACGTTTCACCGTTTTCAACGATTAATCGCCTTGCTTGAGTAGTCCACCTATGTAAACATAGTGCTTTTGTGTTACAGGCAATCGACGCATAGTACTGCGAATAAAAACAATGGTGGAAACATTTATAGAAACAAGCATTTCGATCGCCTAAATATTTTGTGGAAAATAAAAATGACTATACAAAATTATTCGAAACTTTTAGCACTCTTAAAAGATTATGCGAATAAAGCAGGTTATGACAAAAATCTACAGATTAATTTTTTTAAAGATTGGTTGGACATTCTACAGAGAATGACTTACACGCCAATCAATGCTTTGAAGAAGCAATTGTCCGTGGAGGGTGGAAATATTGAGAATCATGGCGACGTAAAAAGTATAGAAAAATGTAAAGATAATGCAAATAAAAGTCAAAAGATATCGACCGAAGAAGATATGCCATCGAATCGTTCTGTTAAATGTCGTAAAACATGTCAGGTAAATAAGAGATACGGTGGAAGGGAAATTTGATAACTTATCATTCGAATGAATTGTTTTTGTTTCTTGCAGCAAATGGATAATGATACCAAAAACGTCCAAAAAGTGGAGGTCAAAGAACAATCGTATACACTATTGCAAATTTTCGACAATTTGAAATTTAAATTAGCTAGTCAGACTAGACCAGGTACCCTAATAATTCCACCGAAATGGAAAGTAAATGTTCATAATAGTATATCGAAGCACAGCATTGTGTCTAGAACGCGGCACGTTTTAAATAGTATTGTAACAGCTGAATCTAATGCTTCGACATGGAGGAGAATAGAAGATTTGTTAACTCACATTGATCAGTATCCGGAAGCTAGACATTACGCGATCAAAGAAGGAGCGATCAGAACGTTACTCAAGACTCGACGTAAAACTAGAGATGATCGAATAAAAGGTACAAATTAATACACGAATTTGGCTTTGCCAGTTGCACCCGTCATTCTGAGATATAAATTTCGCAGCATCTATCAGGGAAGCGTTAACAGTGTTGGGCTACGTCGATCCATTGCCCGGACGTGGAATTCGAATTCTTTCTATTGACGGCGGCGGTATGCGCGGTGTATTAGTTATAGAGATGTTGAAAAAGCTGGAAGAGCTGACGGGTAAAAAAACGCACGAAATGTTCGATTACATATGCGGCGTGAGTACGGGAGCAATTCTAGCAGCTACTTTAGGTATGCGTAAAATGTACTTTCTTTGTGGATAGAGCTGATCTGAAAATTGTTTAATTTCTCTTCGATGAATTATCAAATAGGCTAATTCTCGTTTGAGACTGTTTGAAACTGAAACTTGATAATCTGATAATTTAGGTGGCCATAGGAGGAAATCGTTGAGTGAAATTTCAGAATTGTACAAAGAATTAAGCATTAAAGTTTTCACTCAGAGCACGATAAAAGGTACCAGTAATTTAGTATGGAGTCACGCGTACTATGACACAGCGCTCTGGGAGAAATTATTACAAGAGCACTTGGGTGATAAAATTCTAATTAAGACTGCTCGTGATCCGAATACGCCAAAGGTATTATGGTTCTGTGCAAAATAGAGAGATTTCAAAGTGAAAATATAGATGGAGAAGGTTGTTTTATTAAAATGATTATTCAGTTTTCAGCTATATCTGCGATTGTAAATCATGAGCGTGTGATGGCTTATGTGTTTCGAAATTACACTTTGCCCCACAGAGTGGAAAGTCAATACATTGGGTCTCATAAGCATAAATTATGGGAAGCTATAAGAGCATCGGCGGCAGCGCCTAGTTATTTCGAAGAATTCAAATACGGCGAATTTCTGCACCAAGATGGAGGTTCGATTCGACACCTATAGAAAATTAGTATGAAGAGCACGAAATATAGTTTAATAATGGTGGTTTGTTTTTAATCGAATAGGTATACTGGTGAATAATCCATGTGCAGTTGCATTACACGAAGCCAAACAATTGTGGCCGAATAATCCGATTCAGTGTGTAATCTCTTTCGGGACTGGAAGAACGCCGAATCGGATGTGCGAAAGCAACAACGAATCTATGGAAATCGCAATTTCGAGTTGGAAAGAAAAATTTTATAAAATTTTGGACAGTGCGACCGACACGGAAGGTACAATTGCGTATATCAATGCTAAAATATTTCATCTCAAAGTATTGCTCTAAAAACTTGTTTACCAACAAACAATAACGATTCTTTTCCCGTTCAGCTGTACACACGATGCTTAACGATCTTCTTCCTGAACATGTTTATTATCGTTTTAATCCGTACTTGACGGAAATGATATCGATGGTGGAGATACGACCAGAGAAAATTACTCAAATGGAGCAAGACGCGAAAATGTATATACGTAGAAACGAAGAGAAATTTCAGAAAGCGGCTGAAGCTCTCTTGCAAAAAAGACAAATCCAGCAGAAGATTATGGATTGGATAGTATTACAAAAACAAACTTCAGGTCTATAAATGCATCCTGTTATTAGTTATTTGCATTCCATAACTTAATGATTGAATATCAATGGTTATGAAACCCTCAAGTACAAATCATGATACAGCACTTTCCTTTTATCGATGGTATTGATCCATTAAGGATCAATGATCCTTACGATTGATACATATTTTTCTAATATATTATGTTTCGTTTACACAGTGAACAATTCTGAAAAGAATTCGTGCGTAATCGTTATTTGTATATAATTATGTGTGCTAATAGACGAATTAATACTTTTTCGTATCTGTGATTTCGACAAATTATTTATAAATACAAATATAAATGTATATATAAATATATCGATGTATAAAGTTAGTTATATAAACCCATACATCAGTATTAATGTATGCACGGTAACATTATTTTCTCTCTCCGTTTCTCTGTCTCTGTCTCTATTGACCGGAGAGAAAAACTGCCGAGCCGTCGATATGGTAACATTAAAAACCTGTATATCGTTTTTTGATCTTTCAACGTTGTCGCGATCGTGCGGGCGGTGTTGTACTTTTGAAACCTGTAACGAGATCATCGTCGTCTATGTAGAGTATGCGAGTACTTGAAATAATAGTCACGGTGTTTTCGTATTTATTTTATAACAGGCACGGGAACAAGTACCTAGCTGAGATCGAAATAATAATCGAGTCATATTTGTAAAATGTTAAACGTATTGTTAAGATTCGAAACTCTTATCTGCTGTTTTATATGTATAGAAAAATTTAAATAAAATGTTGAATATTTATATGTGTAAAATGCCGTATTTTATTTCTGTATACAATATAAACACGTTTCTGTTAAACGAACGATAACTCGACCGAATAAACATTACGAAATCAACGCAAACGTAACGAAACTCGATGGGTTTACGGAATAAACAACACAGAATTATGTTTCCAAATTTCAGATTCTGAAGATACACTTGTCCCGTTCACCAAATTACGTCGGATCGTGAATCGATGGGGATTAGTTTTCTGACAAAAACAAGTCCAAACACGCTATAAATCGAATAACGAAGTCAGTAACTCGTCTGCGACGTTAGTTTAGAATTACCAAACAGTAATTGGCGCTGCTATCCACGCGGTTCTCTTTTCCTTCACGTGTCTCTTAGGGTTTCCGTGCTTGGCTGTATCTTTTGTAAGTACAAAGGTATCCGTGTAATCTATTCGGTACCTGTTACAGCATTATTCAGAAACCGATACAAAAAGTTGATAAAGTAGATTTTATAGCAATATTTTGTATTCGTTTTCAGTAATGTTTGAAACGGTATAATTTCATCTGAAGAAGCACATAACCTCGCGTGTGTCTGTAAATATGAATCTGTGTATGTGAATTATTATTTTTTAGATCGTGTAACAAGGAAATATGGCTAAATCTAAAAATCACACCAATCATAATCAGAGTGAGTATAATGAAAAATCTTAATAATATCGTTTCATTGGAAACGAATCTACAATCGATGTAACGAGATTTTTATGTGAGACTTATGTGTTCGATTGACTAATATTACGATTGTGCGTGTAGTATGATCGAATTTAATTAAGTGCCGGGTATAATATCACGTTTTATCGTTTTATATAGATCGCAAAGCTCATCGGAATGGTATCAAAAAGCCGAAACGTTATAGGCACGAGTCTACGCTTGGTGTAAGTTTCTTGTTTGTTAAATATTACACTCATTTTGCGTGATTATAAGAATTTTTTCTAAATATGATACAATATTGCTGACCGAAATCAGAAATATTTCTGTATAAATTAAACTTTGTAGATGGACTTAAAGTTCCTAAGGAATCAACGATTCGCTAAGAAACACAATCTAAAGCCAAAAGAACAGCTAAAGAGGGCAGAAAAACGCAAAGCGCTATGCGAAGCGCTTCGCGAAGTTAAGAAATAAGTTTATGTAACGATGAATTTATTATAATAAAAACTTGATAAACACTTTTTTTCTATTATATCTTTTCAACGTTAACTATTATTGTATTATCGTCTGGTGGTTGTCGTTTAAATTTGCACTGTCTGCTTACAAATTACATATATCCGAGTTGTGGAAAACATGAAACGTTCAGGAACGTTCGAAAATATTTTGGATAAACATTCAGAAAAAGTCGATGTAATGTATTCATTTTAGGAATACATGTAAATTTACGTATGAGCGTACTACGCGAGCAGATTTATGAGAGTTTTAAAGGCGGACAAATGAATAATCGCCTTCGGTCAATGTTCATAATTTGAATAATTCTTGTGATTTGTCTCGAGTTCAAAATGGCGGCCGGAAATGTTACACACAAGTACTGTTCAACAAATATTAAAAATTCTCTGAATCCACGAATAATTTTATTATTTAGTGGGAAAAGGAAATCTGGCAAGGATTTTATTACGAATATATTGCAGGAAAGGTAAAAAATTATTGATTGTACTAATTATAGTAAATTGTAGTAAAATTAGTCCAACATAATTAATATATATTTTTATAGAATTGGTTTTGATAGTAGCGTTATTATTAAATTATCAGGGCCAATTAAATCTCATTGGGCTAAATCTTTGAATCTCGATATCGATGAACTGTTGGGAGATGGAGAATATAAAGAAAATTACCGCCTTGAAATGGCTAAATGGGGTGAGAGTGTTAGAAACCAAGATTATGGTTATTTTTGTCGTGCAGCCATAGATATGTATAATGGTAAAGTATTGTATCTCCCTATTGTACTCGCATCTCCTTTTTGAACTATAATGTAATTTACGTATATCTACTTTCCTAGCACATGACAAACCAATATGGATAGTGAGTGATGTACGAAGGAAAACTGATATACAATGGTTTATGGAAAATTTTCAAGGCATAGCTAAAACAATTCGTATTGTATCGGATGATGATACAAGAAAAAAACGTGGATGGTTCTTTGTCCCAGGTAAATATAAAATGCACCATTTAACTGACAACATTTTCATATGTATGTTAAGTTAAAATTTTATTGTGTGTAATACGTTAGAATGCTTTAACTCTGATGTCACGTATTTTCTATAGGTATAGATGATTCGGAAACAGAGTGCAATTTGGATGATGTGTCTACCTGGGATTTGGAAGTTATAAATAACGACGATAATATAGATTCAGTGTTGCAGCAAGTATTAAAATTAATAAGCTAGCCGGTTAAACGAAAAATATTTCTACACATACGTGCACTTACGCGTGTATTGTCATAAATTTAAAAATAAATGAACTGTTTCTTCCTTTGAATAATGAAATGGAATTTCATGTTGACATTCTGCTGTTTTCTTATCACATCGGTATATTTCTCTTCGATACTTTGTAATTATAATTTTCTTATGTACTATTACCTAAAAATAACTACTATCTGTCTTATTAAAGCCCTATTCAGCTTCTTACAGAAAAGGTGTGTAAATCGGTGCCTGCAGGCACTCCAGTGACACTTTTCGTACGAAAAGTTACTAGCGTGAGGGGAGTAAGTCGGACATCTCTGTTACGGTTTGTTAGTTGGTAGAGTGTACACTCGATTACTCGTAATCGGGATTTTCGTGATTCATTATCGGCGACACAAAATTACAAGTACTTAAACGGTTGTTAGATAAGTACTATCTAGTTGAAATATTTGATTCTGTTCTCTATTCAATGTAAATAATCGTCATCAGATGGCGCAAGTTGACGAAGAAAGTCTGCGCAAATTAAGATTCAGAAGGCACGACTAACGTTGACATTTGATGCGAAATGATGTATACGATCCATTCATTTATTTCATAATCACGAATTTCCGTGGTGAAGAACGTCACGTTAAACGAATAACGTGGAACGATTCGTACAAAATTGTAGAACGGTGTCATTAACTTCTGAAATGGTGGATCACTCGCTACCATCGGACATTCTTGACGATCTTAGCAGGTTAACATTCGTGATTATTTAACTTACTTGCATATGTTTTATTGCATTACGTTTCTTATATATCGTTTAGTTTGATTTCAAGATCAACGTGTATTTTCTTTTTAGTCGATTCATCATCAATGTGCCCGAAGAAGAGCGAAAAGATTTAGTTCGAATATGTTTTCAAATTGAACTAGCTCACTGGTTCTATTTAGATTTCTATTGTACAGATGAAAATCCAAAACTCAGACCATGCAGTATGAGAGAGTTTGCTACGCACATTTTTTTCCACATACCGTTTTTAAAACCACACGTCGCTAATATAGATAACATTCTTGAACAATGGCGAGATTATAAACTAAATGTTCCCACATTTGGGGCTATCGTGTTGAATGAAAATTTAACCAAAGTACTGCTTGTACAAAGTTATTGGACAAAAAACAGTTGGAGCTTTCCTAAAGGCAAGGTCAATGCAGACGAGGATCCTTCTCGTTGCGCGGTGAGAGAAGTTTTGGAAGAGACTGGCTTTGACATTTCAAATTTGATAAATGAAAATGAGTATATTGAATTGATGATAAATGAACAATTTGTGAGATTATATATAATATGCGGTGTTCAAAAAGATACAAAATTTCAACCGAAAACAAGGAAGGAAATAAAAAATGTGAAATGGTTCTCTTTAGCAGATTTACCTAACAACAAGAAGGACATGACACCAAAAGTAAAAATAGGAGTTGGCCCAAATGCGTTTTTCATGGTAATTCCCTTCGTTAGGTGAGAGACATATCAAACAATTCAGTTGTCTCTTTTGTTTGAATTAAAGACGGAAGGGGGCATGGAAGTTGCAGAAACAAAATGTTTGCTAAAATATTTTCTAATGTTTTTGTATTCTGTTCTTTGTAGGAGAATGAGACGTTGGATACAAGAAAAACATTTGCGGGAAAAAAATATAAACACTGTACGAAGACACAGACACAAATCTCTTGGCGATGTCGAAACTGTTTCAAAAGGGAAACAGCAACAGCAACAACAACAGCAACAACAACAGCAACAGCAACAGCAACAGCAACAGCTACTTACTCATTCGGGTCAAGTAATTATGCTTCGCTGGTGACCAATTATAACAGTATCGCAAAATGTTCAGGATACGTATTTAAAAATTTGTTTTAGGGTGATATTCCAAGTATTAAAGACTTCATAAACTGTCGACAATCTAACACGTCACCCGTTCGGAGCAAAGTCTGGGTCAAGTGTCCACGGCGTATGTACGAGAATGTGTACGATAATAAAAGTACTACATCAAAAGCAGCGATCAAACGTAATTTATTCGGTGAACAAAACGAGGATGAAACTTCGACTACTCTCGCGAAACAACTAACGGAGAGTCCACGGTGTCGGCCAACCTGTGCATCTGTACTGATTCCTATCGTTAAGTCTTCAGAATATAACGAGTTTGATTATGAAACGCAAGAAATTGTAACAGGTGCGTGACGAAAAAATTGATTTAATTATTTGTTTTCTCACGTGTTAAACGAATACAATATTTTTCCAGATCAATTGTCTCAATCGCGGAAATCTCGAAATACCGAAATTTCAGAAGAAAATATAAAATCTTTATTATTTGACAAAGCAGCAAGCAAATTACCGACAGACTTAAAAACTGTGTCTTCTCCATTCGTTGCGATGGATTATAGCGCACGATTCCTTCCGACGGACGATTTTGAAACACGGAAGTACTCCGCGCAGCTGTGTTCGATAATTTGGGAACACTTCAAGTTTGATAAACAAGCGATACTTAGTTGCTTATAAATTGATTTTACAGAAACGATTATTGTTTTTTTAAGGAAAAGGTAGAACCACAAATTTGTTCTACAAATCTATACTTATATAATTGTATTAACTTTTAATGGTATTTATGTAGATTTATGGATGATTACGTGTCAAAATTTCGAATCGAATATAATTTTAAACACTCGTAATCTCGTAACAGCATCTCGTTAGAATTGTATTTTGCTCTTGATTGGTCCAACAGTGTACGATAAGAACAATAATATAAAATGAACGAGGCGTTGATCTGTAATCGATATTAAGTATTTAACGGTTTTGTTTATTAATGACGCGTTTAAGATAACTCAAGTGCGATAAGAGAATGGTACACCTGTACAATTGTAAAGAGTAACTTGAAATCGTTGCAGAGGGAACTACAGCGTTAAAAAATACTGTTCGTTTTATGTATAGTGATTTTTATGCGTGTAAAAAATTGTGCGTACATTGTATTCTTGGTAAGAAATTATTGCACAATAATATCAAACTAGCAAACGATGAGATTCGATGAGTTGTTGTTTTACACGAGACATTTAACGATCGAAGTATTTATTTGAAAACACAAATTTACTTCTCACATGAGAGAGAAACATTGTCAAAGATATGTATTACGATAGAATGTGCTGGGAAAGTGACGAGTAAACATTTTTTATTACTTGAAGAAAATGAGAACGATTAAAAGAATGAACGTGATAATAAGAATAAAGTACAATGCTTTTTTAAATATAACAGCACCTACACCCTGCACGCTTCTGATAATTTCATTATTTAATGCAAAAACCACTTTACTCTCTTCGATAAGTTTATTTTTCGTGTCCTCGTCCAACATGTCTGCAATCTTGTTCATCGTGTCGCGCATATTTTGCTTAAGTTCAAAGATATTACATTGAAAATCTGTAATGTTATTACCGACCGCGCGAATATTTTTAAACGGTAACACTTTTTGCGTGAGTTGCCGCTTTTTACGTAGAATAATTCCTCCGCTAAGAAGACCCATATACAGGTGGTAAATGTATGCTATCAGTAATGTAGGATCGGTATCTTCTATTTCCCTTAAATGCATCAAATATTTAACAACACTGTCCCTAAAGCATGAAACAATGTTAAACATGGACACTGAACGAAAGAAATTGAAGTTATTTAAGAGAGAAAGGAACACACGAATATAGAAATAATGAGCAACGACGATAATTGACTTTACATTGTTATAAAAATGAATATAATTTGTGCAGTAACAGAAGCGAGAAGAGCATGCGATTCTATAGAATACGAACATATTTACTAGTAAAATCCTGGCATAAGGAAATTATAAATACGTAAAATAAAATGTATTTGCATTTATAAAAAAAAGCGTTATAGTATGATAATACCTAGGGCTGTAGTTTTTCATCCAATCCTTTCCTAAATAAAAGTCTAGGTCACGTTCGAAGGCTTTTACACGAGAAAGTTTGTCAACTGGAAATAATCCTATTTTAGTAGTTTTCAATCTGATCATAGCACCTTCTAAATATCTGAAGATTTCATAAAATACTAAAAGACCATCTGCCCACACAGAATCATTGAGAAATCCTGTTGCAAGTAAAAGATACGTGAGAAAATTTCAGAGAAGAAAGATTTACAGATCCTGGTAGATTGTTACGATTACTTTGTTTTGTAAGGATCTCGAGGTATGTTGCGTATCGTTCAATACTATTATCAAACTACATTACACAAAGTATATTTCACTATATTAAGAAAAGATTTGAAAAAGGTGTTGAAAAGTAAAATTTGAATGTTGCGATCTAACGACTAATCTAAATTGCGAAGATATTGCACAGAAACGATGTAGTTTTGTAAAATGATAATAGTATTTTATCCAAAATGTGTAATTCGTCTTACCAAATGCTAATTTTGCATTCACTAAAGCGTCACTGACCGTATGAATTTCTCTCGTAGCTTTACGCATTTTCTTACAAAATGTATTTTCATCTTTGTTGGACATTTATATATGTAATTTCTATGTGTACAATGTATAGTTGTAATCAATGTTTTTAAATGACAGCGTTATCGAAATCACCATTTTACGTTTGACGTTTCGTAACTCGATTGCACCATAAAATAATGAAACGCGAAGAATGTAGAGTGGACAGTTTCGCCATCTAGTGAGAAAATCGACCTACACGTATATCGATATACGTATATCGATGTAATCTGTACCAGAGGCTTACGAGTGTTGCCGTAGATGGCTCAGCGTGTAATATTTCGTAGCTTAGTTGGTAATTTATCGGCTATATTTATTATTACTTTTACAGAGTAAAGACAAACGAATAAATGTTTACAAAAACTGAAAAGCATATTGTAAGATTGACAATCTTAGCAACGAAACACATATAACGATCGGTAAATGGGATAAGTCAATAAAGTAGGTTAAGAAGTTGGCCACTTCTAAAGAACAGCAAGTGAATACTAATAAAAATTGATGCAAGTAACAGAGTTGTTGGCGCACAATATCGATTCGCAAAATTGCACCGCAGAGGGGAACTGGAAATTGGAAGGGTCGAATACATTTGTAACATATGCATAGCGGGAAATGATATGGTTACTTCGTTTACTGGAGGGCATGTTCGAATCGTTGTTTGTCGCGGCGAATTATCAGAAAAAATCAGCGGAAATTTATAGACGATACTTTTTGTTTCCAATGAATATACGAATTATTGTTACATGTTCTACAGAGGTATCGTTAATTTCGTCGCTAAATAGGAAGAGTAAGTGTGCGGATCCATACGAGCAAAGAGACGTTCTCCAATGATCCGTAAAGAGTGAAATAACTGTATGGAATTTCGCAGGAAACAAGAATGGATCGGATACACAGCTGGGGCGGATTTCTGTGAAATATTAACGGCGATGGGTAGAATAGAATAGATGGTTATTTAATAGAATATACGTAGGTAGATTCGCGCGCAGCATTGGAACGATGGGTTTGTATTCAGACTCGGAAAGGCATTAAGCTTCTTCGACTGGAAATCTATCATTCGGCGGATTGCAATTAGGAAGTATAAAATATTCTTTTGTCGACTTCCTTAGCATCATTTTCCACCGATGAACCTGTAAAAAAGTCTCAAGATGGATGGAACTATAGGTGGAAAACGGCACAGGGAATCGATTGTCTACCGCATAAAACTCTTACGTAAACGACGAGATGGAGATTATTAGGGAGAGGTGTGCATTCATCTGTGGGAATTTCTGATATCGCTTATGGTGGTGTATTGTCCGCGTAAATTTCCGAATATTGGTTGCACCGAGTAGATCGAGTACATCGAATAGTGTAAAAAAGCCGAATGCTTCCGCGACGGCGGAACCATGATAGGATTGTTCGTCTTGCTATGAATTTGTTGGTTCTTCGCTCGATTGACACGATGGAATAGTGAATCGGACAAGAGGGGAAAATCTGTTTGTTCGTTTTTACCGTGAGCTGATAATAGAGTTGTTGGCGGTGAATCGAAGTGACAGACTTTGCAGTAACAGTGCTGAAAGTGGTGTTGCAAAGGCGCACAAATAACGAACATGATAGAGGCACGGTAACATGTTCTTTCGCGGTGGTTGGCGATTCTCTGCGGATATGTGGATTTCCTATGGCACTAGGATATACAGTCGGTGTATATTGTAAGTGGCTGCGGTATTCGGCTAGTCAGATCGATGAGACGCCGTCGTCGTGGCGCCTCGTAAACGCCCCACCAGCTTCTGCCTCTTCCGATAAAATCAGTTTTTTGGGTTCACTAGAACATTTCGGATACTCGAATGTCTTCGTGTAACACCGCCGAATGCCTCCAACTGTAGCGTCCAACGTCACTTGGTTGCTCGAATGCAATTATTCGGCGAGAAGCGAACGATTACGGCGCGATTCAAGCGGTAGAAGGAAGTAGGAAATAATTCGAAAGCATGCACCGCAAGTTTCTTTAATCGGGTCTAAAGGTCCGTCGAAGGAAAATAGATGAAGAAGTAATCAATTTATGGTCGGTTGTACAGGCATCGAGAGAGGCACATGTAAACGTGTTTTATCGCGAGAAAAGAATTCGAAATCTAGAGAAGGAGGCCACACGGGAATTGTTCTAGCTGCTGAAAGAATCGCGTCACTTGGTACGGAGCACGAGACAGCGAACGCGAAACGTACATACAGTAATTCGAACGATGTAATAACGAAACGTCGATGGAAGAATTCACTTGCTTACCAAGCATAAGCGGATGTAAGTGTACCGAACGGTTCCTGAACGAGAAAGTCTCGTGTTTCGTTATGCTTGGCCAGGCTTTCGGTCGCGGATTTGATAATTAATATTTGAATCGCGCTAAGAGCAGGCAGAAGCTTCGATGCGTATTTATGCCAACCATTTATGCCAACGACTTATACCATGCGTAAGTCGAGTGTTTACTCGCCGCGGGAACGTCATCTAACGGAGAAACTATCGTGCCCGTATAATGCGATTGGTAATACGTGTGAAATCGATAAAATTGCTTATAACGTTCGATCGCGGTGCAATGCACCGATGATACTTGTACTGCGAAAGAAACGTTACGTTTCTGGTAAGCGTTGGAAATTCCGTTTCCACGATGGGGATACACTCGAGATATAATACATCTGCAATGCAGGCGTTCACCGAACAAGTTGAGGAATTCTTTGAGCGGTCACCAAGTATCGTTCCGTTCTCCTTGTTTTATTGCGCACACTGGACACTTGTTAACTGCAGCCGTGTGCTGCGTTGTCTCGCATTTCCGCATATGCATTTGATACTTTCGCCCGAGTAAGCTTCTGCCGGACGAGTACGCGTGGCTTCCGAAAGGGTATACGCGTCGTCGTTACGTCCTGCGTAGGTCCTACACATTTGCAATCCGACACGATCGCGTTGGGCAGACGGAATGGGGAACGGGATACGGGGTGAAGCGCAGTAACGGTAAAAGATGGTGTTTTGGGTGTGTTCAACTCGATAAGATGTTTCTATATTTTGGTTTCCGATGTTCTTAACACGGTTAGTAAAGGGGTGCCGGTCAATACTAGCGCCGCGCACTACGGCTACTACTGTGAAAGTTCCAGCTCGTGTCCTGATCGGGCTTGATCGAATCCGAACTAAAGGAAAAAGGAAAGCAGCGGAATAAGAATGTTTATGAGAATCAAGGGAAACACAAATGCGGAACAGTCTTGTTCGAAAATGATGAATTCGAGGAATTTCACTGATATCGATATCGGTATTTGATTAATTGTCGCATTTCGCGTAGTAGTTTCCGGTTGCTTTTCCTTTGAATTAACCATGAGAAAACGGTTACATCTCGATGTCTAATCTCTCTTGATGATACATCGATTGAATAATGTTTTCATTACAAGACATTTCTAGAATAAAGTGTACTGTAAGGAACGTGTACTGGTTCGTTACTGGACTGTGAGTGTGAATTGCACTGCGGCAATACAGGATGTTTACGAATCGACAAATCGGCCTTACGATCCCCATAAATATCTTGATCGCAGCGCGATTCGCCTCTGCAGTGACACTAATTTCAGCAGACGTACAGTGAACGTAAATCATAAATAATATTGCCGTGGTGTAAAACACGAGGACTATGCGGCTAGTATAGGTATAGATCGAAAAATCCCAGGAAAATGTACGCAAATGCCAGATATCTCGGACGGCCGATTCGTAATTATCATTGAACCGCAGGTTGATTTCTAGCGCAAAACTCGCCGACCGTTCAAAGCAGGTACAACTGCTGTAAAGGATTCGTAAAATTGCGATTGAATATGATAAGCGTAACAAAGCGTATTTATGCCGTGTCGAGAGCTGTATCGTCTGCACAGCTGTCCATTGGAATAAGAAAGTACGTGGAACGTTTCCACTAAATGTTTCTAAATCCGATAGAAAAATATTCGTTTTCGAGTCGAGGACAACAGACGGGGTGCATGTAAGCGTAACGAAAAGAAAATATCCTCGCGCCGTTCGCTCATCTGTGAGGTTACTAACCCAAAAACTGTGGCAGAAACAGCGATGGCGTCGCGTGTACCCACATGCATGCACGTGTAATGTACCGATGTATCGGTGGAACAACGGTTTTTAAAGGAATTTAAAGGGTACGAATTTAAAGGGACCAAGGTACGATTACCCGTAATATTTTCCATAGAAGACAGAGCGTCGACAGGAATCTTGCGAATAATCTTGCAAGTTCGATTAGCAGGTAACAACGAAACATGGGAAATTCAGATGAAACTTGACGTTTCGGGTTTGAGAAGTAACGTGGAATTTCTGGTTCGTCGTTAAAATGTACCTGCCGGTGCGATGGCAGGTCTTTGTATCGCGTGTTACTCGACCGGCCATTATTTCGCCTAGTAACATTTTTCCTCGAGTAATCGGTCTTGCACTGCAGAATGCGGCCCCGAAGTCTCGGCGGTTTCTCGTTGTTCGTTTCGCACTCGTTTCCGGTGCAAGTCCTTTCCCTCGGTACCGGCAGCTTCTGACGAGGCGAGGCGACGCGACGCGACGCGACGCGACGCGACGCGTCACGACGCTGCTTCGCCGCGCCGGCCGGCTTGCCGGTTCCGTGTCATAGCCGGGGTTACGCATACATACGCTGCGCCAGCAGTGGCTCATCCCTAGGCGGTGTACGTGTACCTGTTCATAGGTGTGCATGCGTGGTTCCTCCTTCATACATCCAACCGTATCTCCACGTTCGCGTTGCACCGTTTTCGACGATGCGACGGTGTGGCGTTTTAAACCAAGGAGGTTGTGGAAGTAGCGTCTGAACTGCGCGAGTCGAGTAATCGAGTCGGCGCGACGGCGCAACGTTAGTGGGGATACTGGAACGATCGCAAGGAAGGGGGTGCTTTTGTGTGCCAGCGATGCAGGCTATCGTCAAGTTCGTCAGAGAGCCGGCAGCCCGCAACGCGAGTGTTGCTGCCGAGTACATCTAGTTCTATCGTTGCTCGGGACGCAGGGAGAAGAGACAGAAATTCGTGAATCGTAGCTCACATACAAGTTCGTCAGAAGAGAAACGTCGTTTCTATTCCTTACATTGGAGTCTCTCGCATACGTTTCCTTTAGTATTCATCGCCTCGATCAGCATTTAGTGTACCGACCCTTCGACTCATCTTTTACGGGAGAAACACCAGCCTCCTGTCATTTACCCTTTATTCCTTTTTTATCGTTCCTTTTTATTCTGTCTCTCTGTCTCTATCTCTCTCCCTCTCTCTCACACGTACACACTCGCTCACACACGGAACACGGCACGCGCTCCCAGCCAAACACGAACACGCGAACACAAACCCACGTAGGGCAGAGAGATACGGCATACACACGTACATATATCCACATATTCTCTCTTTGTCGCCGTCTCTCCCTCCCTTCCGCCCCTTTTCCTTATCCATCTCATACATAGATTCGCACATACACACATACACATACACACACACACACTCTCTCTCTCTCTCTCCTCTCTCTCTCTCTCTCTCTCTCTCTCTCTCTCTCTCTCTCT